GCCTTACACTTAGTAGTAGTACGCTCTTCTTTAGTAGTAGTAGCTTTAGTAATAGTAGCTTTAGTAGTATAGGAGGTAATAAGGGTAGTATAGGTAGAGTAAGCGCAAGTAGCAGGTTTTAACTTTAACTAAGATATAGGTTAGTAGGGATATAGGTATAGTTTAGACCTTTAAGGTTATATAATCTTATAATTTAAGCTATAGTAAAGATTATAGTTAGGTAGATAGAGTTATAGAGCTTAGTCTAGATAATATCTACGCGCATAAGCGTAGGCTAAATAAGGAAGGCGCGCTAGTTAGTATCTAAAGGGTAAGCTAATTTAACCCTTTAGATATATAATGCTCTAATTAGCTACACTACCTACTAACTATAAGCGTAACTATAATAATAAAAGATCTACCTATACCTAGGGGGTGTGTTATAGGAGGGATATTAACTAGATTATAGAGTATCTTAAGCTAATTAATCCTAATTAATACCCCTATATAACCTACTATCTAATTAACTGCTAGCTTACTACTAAGTGCCTAATAAAAGGTAGGAGCTCTAGTAAGGAAGGTTTACTAATTATTTACCTTCTAGTAAGGGTAGCTAAAGCTCTATATATATAAGTCCGATCGTAGTAGATATAATCTAATAATCTATCTCCTAAATCATTCCTAACCTTAGTAATCTAAATTTCCACAAGATTTAAATAGAGAAAGGATAGGAGTATAGATTAGGAAGAGTTAGGTTAAGATAGTAAAGGAGTTAAAGAAGAATTAGGCTATCTATGTTAAGAATAAGAAGCTTATATTTAGTAAGGATAAGGAAGCTAGGGTACTAGACTAATCCTACTTTAGTATAAAGGGGGTATAGCCTACTAAGGTAGGAGAGTAGTAGAGGTATAATAGATAGATTAAGCAATCAGAGACTCTAGATGCTGTTAAAAAGTATCTAGGAGCTATTAAGGAGGAATAGAAGGCAGAGGGATCTAGGCGCTTAGAGCTAGGCTATACAGGAAGCCTAGTAAGGGCGTAGAGGAGAACTATCTTATTAAGTTTAGGTTTAAGATTAGAGACCCTAGATACTCCTACTCTCTTACCTAAAGCTTAATAAGCTAGGAACTAGGGTTGCAGACCTAGAGGAGGAGAGTAAGGGCTAAGCTTAATAGGGCCAAGCTTAAAGGAGGGGGAGGTTTATGCTATAGCATAGGATATATAGGAGAAAAATAAGGCTTAGTCTAAAAAGTTAGGTAGATTAAATAATATAAAGGTATAAAGGATTAGAGGATAGAATAGGATAACTTCTAGAGACTTTACTTTAACTCTAAAATATTATCTTTTCACTTATATTCCTGTATTAAACCTAAATCCTCTACTATAGGATCGCTACTATTAAACCTTGCTCCTCCTACTTCTCCTCGTTTAAATAGGTTACTCTCCCTAACAGTTTACTAATAGTAGTATTAGACTTACTAGGGAACTTATATAAGACTATATATATAGACCTGCTAGAGAGAGCTACTAATAATCTACTACTAAGCTAGAAGCTTTAGGACTTATAACTAGGCCTAATAGTTACTCTAGAAAATAAAGATACAATACTAGATAAATAAGAAGTAGAAGAGATCCTTTACGTAAAGAATATAAGAGGAAAAGGAAAGTATTAAGTCCTAGTAAAATAGAAGGGGTATATTAATCTAATATAGCACCTGCTAGAGGTAGTGTAGGATACTAAGGCTCTTAATAGATTTAAGGAATAGTATAGGGATATTACGTATAATAATAGCCTAATACGTATAAAAGCTAGGAAGTAAGGGTAGAATAAAACTAGAATAATAACTTAGAACCTTATTATAATTAAGAAGCAAGAGGGTACTAGAGATAGGTTATATTTGATCCTAATAATACCTAGGGTAAGTATCCTACTAGTAAAACTTTATAATATAGCTAATAATTAGGTAGTAGTATCTATACTATTACTATCTATAACTAACCCCCCCTTAGCCCCCCCTAGACTATTATCTATATTGTTCTAACGCCTCTATGTTTTATAGTAATAGTAGTAACGCTTACGCGCAGCGTAGGTAGGGGAAGACTTAGTTAATAAGTATAAATAGTAGTAGTAGTAGGATAAGGGTAGTGCTTCAATAGCCTACTAATATATAGTACCCTAGGACTAAAGATAATAAATATTAGAATAAATATAAGGGAATAAGGAAAAATTAATACTAATAATAAAAGTCTTAATACTATAAGTAGTGCGCTTAGTAGCGCTCTTAAGCTTATTAATATAAAGGTTAGTCTAGGCCTAAGTCTTATTTATACGCTAGTTAATGTGCTAGAAGGTAATACTAGTAGTAGTAGCAAGCTATATAATATTATTATTACTATAACTACTATATAAAGGCGTAATAGTAGACTAAAGTAGGAATACTAGAGTACTAGTAGTAGATAGAATAATAGCACTAAGCTAATACTAATTATAGGGGCGCAAGTAGGTACAGGGAGCAAGTAGAGTAATAGTGTTATTAGTTTAGGCCCTTAATATAAGATCCTTAAACTAATAGTAGAGCTAGTAGAATTATATTATAAACTAGTAGTAAGTGCCTTTAGTAGGTTTTCCTATAAAGGTGCTAAGGGTCCCTCTCTTTATAATATAGAGGTAATCCTCCTAGTAACTATAATAAAACTAAAGCTAGTTATAGAGGGCTTAGTAGATATTAGGGTTATTAGTAAGCATAGCCTTTAACCTAGTATAGGTTTTATAACCTTAATAATAAGACTTATATAACTACCCTAGATATAATTAGAACTTGCTATAAGAATATAGAAATTAAGAGGAACTTACTACTACCTTCCTAATAGTTATACCTACTAAAGAGATAGAGTTAGTTAATATACTAGTTATAGGGAAGTAGCTTTATAAAACTACTATTATACTCCTTATTATCTAAGTTACTAGAAATAATAAAGCTGCTAAGTAACTAAGTTTAGGAAGAGGTGTACTAGGTAAGAAGTTAGTATAGGAAACGTTAGGGAAATATTAGAAGTACACACCTTATCTTAGTAGGCCTAGCGCAGGGTCTAACTACTATATAGTAGTTCCCTTCTACTAGTACTAGAAGTAGTAGATAAGGATATAATAGAGGCTAGATAGGCTAGATAGATAGAAAAAGGGTAGAGAAAAGACTAATTAGTAGGGAAAAGCTATAGTGTAATAAGTAAGTTTTAGGAAGTTTATAGTAAGGTAGGATAGCTATATTAGAACTTTTATAGTAGGGTCCTAAAATAAATATATAGATGCTACGCGCGTATACTACTTAATATATAGGCCTATTATAAATTAGGAAGGAATATAAAGATATAATAATAAAACCCTAATATATAGTAATATAGCCTAATATATATTATAGAGGATAAAGATATAACCCTAAACCCCTAAAAAGATAATTTTATAATAGTTTATAGGGAAGGTTAGGGGTATATAAAGGGCTTAGGCTTATACCTAAGCCTAGGCCTAATATAAGATAGACTAAGTCTAACACTACTACTAAGTAAACACGCTACACACCTATAAAAAGGCGTAGAGGGCTTACCTCTCCTTTAAGATACTAAATACTATTATTAACGCTTATTGTATTCTCCCTTAAGGCTAGTCTATAACAAGCCCTAACCTCTACCTCTACCTCTACTACAACCCTTATCTCTACCTCTACTACAACTATTACCTCGCCTATTATAGCTCTTACCGTAGTTAGCTATATAGTAGTACTATCCCTAGCCTTAATATTAGTAGTTAGGTTAATATTACCTACTAGCTATAAATACTAAAATTAGCTCCTAGGTAGGTAATTTAGCGACTAGATAGATAGGCGGGTAGGCAAAAGCCGTGACTTTACTGCTAGTAATAGCTATAAAGCGAATTAGGTAGGTATTATATCTCCTTGTATTATAGAAAATTATATACAACGCCAAGACGCAGTACTTCGCTAATTACCCCTTAGCTCTTCCCTATTAGGAAGGGCGAGGACGATTAGTCTATTGTGGCGAGGACAATTAGCACTTCCCTATGGTCTACTTAGGCTACTTATTACTACGGTACAAAACTAGTTTACAGTAGCTATATTTATCTAAAATAGACTAAGAAGTAGTTTAGGTAGAAGAAGTAAACCTAAGTAGGGTTTATTATACTATGTATTCTATAAAAGTAAACTACTTTTATTTCTACTTCTATTTATCTACTAGTATTATATAGTACTAACTAGTTTCTGTTATAGACTAGCCTTAAGGGAGAATGCCATAAGCGTTAATAATAGTATTTAGTATCTTAAAGAAGAGGTAATCCCTTTACGCCTTTTTATAGGTGTGTAGCGTGTTCGCTTAGTAGTAGTGTTAGACTCTGTCCATCCTGTGTTAGGCCTACGCTTGGGCGTATTCACTAGCTCTTTACAGATTCCTACTAATGACTTACAGTATTACTACCCGCCTTTCTTGAATACTTCTTACTGACCTCTCTTACCACCTCTCCCAAGCCAACATTGACTACATGGCTGCCGGAATCTCGCTCCATGACCACGACCGCTGGGATTGGCTCATTCTTCTCCGAGACTCATCGCTCACCAAGTTGAAGGAAGGCGCCAAG